TCACCAACTGGAAGAGAGAGGCTCAATGACCATCAACACCTATTCTGTATGAAACGAAAACAGGAAATCAACTTAAATTGGCTTAAGCTATTAAGGTAATCTGTTTCAACAGCAAGTGTGATCTTAATTAGAAAAAGAACTGGGGGCACCTGGGTGGCTCAATCGGTGGAGGGTCCGACTTCGGCTCAGGTCATGATCTCGCAGTTCGTGGGTTTGAGCCCCACATCAGGCTCCGTGCTGACTGCTTGCTCAGAGCCTGGAACCTGCTTCAGATTCTGTGTCTCCTTCTCTGTGTGCCCCTCCCCCGCTCACGCTTTGTCTCACTCTGTTTCTCAAAAATAAATAAATGTAAAAAAAATTTTTTTTTTTTTAAGAAAAAGAACTGAACTTGAGGGACACGCAAATAACTTAAACCTAATTGGTAACATTTGCCTCCTTCAAGTTTTGATCAGGTCCACTTATATATCTAACAAATGAATCACACTCAATACTTGTTAGGGATCTTATAAAATCTATCATACAGACCATAGCACAAAAAATTCTAGACTCTTTGCCTCCATTCCCCTAAAGCCTCTCCTTCCTGTCCATGCTCCAGAGATAACTCATAAACTGTCACTTCTATGCATCTTTCCTTCCGCCACTACCCTATACACAAGAATTCTTATTTGGAGGGTCAGCTCAGAAACTAGTGTAAACTCTCTAAGAGGGGCACTAACAGGCCATGCTCAGCCACTTATTACCCACCAGCTCTGTATCCTGTCTGCTCTCTCCTGTACATAGTCCCTATGGCACACCTACTACAAACCAGTACTTTTCTTAGAACCTATCAGTGCCAGAAAGATGATTAAAATTATCAACAGGGGGCTCTATTTGCACTGCCAACATAACCTCAAATATGCGCCGATAGAGAAGTTAGTCTGAATTCTATGATATGCCTCTGGATTTGTCTGGACTCAGGAAAAGCAGACAGGCTTGCATTGTCCAAAGGTCGCCAGGGGCTATAAAATCCCAAGCATTGCCAGTTCTCTGGCGTGCACAGGGCGAAGAGGCTCCAGTAGCATGAGGGTAGTTATCGTGGAGAGCTACAGCCACTTAGAAAAAAATCAGACTGAAGGTGACGTTAGGGTGCCCAGGAAAAGGGAGCTGCTGGGATTTGGGCAGAGAGAGCACTGACAGCATCCACCAGAGGAGAGTTGAGCAATTCCTTCTCTGTGCACCAAACCAGAACCTAATGTCCTTGAATATCACCACACTTGTCACAAAGCAGGGTGATTCTAACAGTGTACACACCTGTCTCCCATGTAAGACCAGACTGTTCAGCGAGGCCAGGGACAGCATATCATCTGCCCAAATACAGCTAGTTGTGTGATGTAAACAAAACCGGTGTTCACTTATGGTGTGTTGAATAAGTGACAGGTGACAGCACATACAGACTCTGGTCTGATGGCATCATCACTTTAGTAAGATCGGCCCTATCATGGTTGATCGTTCCCTCAGAAGCCTCTCCTTTCCTCAATGGAAATATTATTGCATAAGCAATAAACCACATCTGCTGGCTTATACTCTAAAAGAAAATACAACGACCACCTTGTAAATCTCTCAGTGTCTACAAAGTTACTGCATTCAAATCCCACTTTCCGAGACCAAGAAACGTAGTCTACTAGAGCACTTTGCATACTTCTGGGGCAAATAGTATTGTCTAAAACACAACTGAGTATGTTAACAGATACAATAGATTATAAGTTTTTTAAAAAAATAGAGGAAACAGAAAATCTTCAACTTTTTATTGTCCTTAAAATGATCGTTCACATTGTTTTACAAGTCAGAGAAGAAAATACAATGACCATTTAGATATAAAATGCATAATCCAAGAATACCTTCCTTCAAACCAGCGGGGGCACTGCCACTGGTGAGGAAAATGTTGCTGCATGAAACAATCATGTATTCTTCATTAGCTTAATAGGCAATTGAAACATTATGTTAGAAATATCAAGGAAGAAGCCCCATCAAATGCTAAGCGACTGCACAAATACTGAGAGAATAAATGTATTTAGAAATGGGGTCATCTAAGGGATGAAGGTTAATGCAGAGGTCAGCTGCCCAAAGAACAAAGACTCTGCCTTTCCTGATCCTAGGATACGTGACAAGCAATTTCAAACCTCTCTCCACTTCTCTGGCATGAGCATAACCTGTCCAGCAAGCCGGCATTCCTCGTTGCTTCTTAGCGATGCTCCAGGGCTAAATAAGATAAAATTTATGTGCTATGCTTTAAGCTCCATTGAGGAAAGGCACTGAATAAACTTCAGGATAATTTACGAATCCGAGCTTGCATTAGTCATGTCCAAGTCTGTCTCATAAAAGGAAAAAATGGAAATAGGAGGCCAATGCTGTATGGTTGGTGAAAAGCTCAACAAACTTTAGGCAATGGTGATAAGCTCAAATAATACCACTTTATTTATACAAAATCCTCGACTATTCCGGGAGAATTTCCCAAAACTCCTTCCAACACGCAGACAATAGTTCACTGGTAGAACATCTGGTATATGAATCAGGAAAGTCTGTTATGGCAGTCCTCGTATGTGATCCAATATCTAATTTCCTTTTAATTTACCATAATTATTTTTGTAAAACTTGATGGCTCGGCTCCAATGGATATGCTTAGCAAGGATTGCCCAAATCCTGTCTTCTCTTCCTAATCACATTCTGAGGCCAACTTCTCCCTACTTTTTTTTTTTTTTTTTTACCTTTCTTTCCAGTTGGGTTTTCCCTTCTTCCCTCTAGCACTTAATCAGTGTCTGCTTCCTTTAGCAACCTGTATTGAAGAGAAGTAACAAGAGTATAATCGAAAATTTAAACTTGAGCATGTATGTGGAAATCCAATCCTACCAGAAAACTGTTGTAGCTTGTAGCGATGACTTGGTACTCCTGCTTTGGGTTTATCTTGTTTTAATAATGGTCCTCGTATCTACAACTTTCAGTAAAACTGAGTTACAGCACATAAAGTTAATCAGGACAAAGTAGCCACATCATTTAGAAACTACAGGGCCCAAACCGATCACTAACTAGTCTTCCTCAACTGACAACTGACTGCATGATTCCCACCTCCAAAGTCATAATTCTAGTCATTTTCTCTGACCTGCAGGAATGTGTTTATTGGGAGTTTAAAAAGAGAAATCTAGAAGGAAAATGCTATTCATACCGGCATAACAAACCTCGGTGGCTTCTAAATGTCCAAAGAGGGGGATAAAACAAGGAGTATCTTGTATGTCTAAAGCAAATCAGAATGGCTCCTCCAGAGAAAACGCCTGTACACTTCCAGCACCCCTAACCTAACAGCACTTGTTTTTAAAAATAAGTCACATTAAGGTCACATGAAGCCTTGGTTAAGAGGAGGAAAAGGTAGCTGCCCTTCCAAAGTTTATTCATTTAGAGAGGAACAAATCAAGGGGAAAATCACTGTCCTCTGACTAACAACACAGGTAATTGTTTTCCTCATGGTGGTGCCCCTGCATTTTTGTCCCTTTGGAAGTTCCCATGTTTACAAAAGGACATGGCACACACGTACATTTAAAATAAAAAAAAAAAAGAAGGAAAATAAATCACAGGGATGCAAAATGGTCTCCCACGGTTAGTCAGAGTTTGTCATTCTGCTTCTGAGATTTTTCCTTGTGGCCTACTTAACGCCAAACCACATACACAATGAATAATGTAAAGGGAGGATGGCTATTTTAAGAAACTGGAAATGCCAGGTAACCACTGTAAGGCCATTAAGATTTTCCCCTACACACGCTAAAAAGACATGGAGGGGTTCACCCGAAAGGATAAAGTTCTGAGGCTCAAAAACCCAGCACTGCTATTCCTTACAGACTCTTTAGAAGACTTGGACAGAAAAAATTATCTTCCTTTGGACATGTGAGGAATTTTTAAATCAATCAATAGAGTTTAAATTGTCTCCAATCAAGAAATTTTTCAAAACGCTTTTTTCAAAGAGAGGTCATGTTAACTGAGCCAAAAGAGAAGTGGTATCTGGTCGCCTGCACTAAAGGGGGAATGGAAGCCATACATTCTTACTGGAGAATTAGAAAATCATTTTCTCAGTGCCTGCTCATTTCAGAAACAGAAGAATGCACATACATGAGGGTAACAAGATAAACAGGAATTGGACTGAAGAAGTGCCCAGCACACAGACATAATCACTGAGGTTTGGGCAGAATAGATCCAATTTTAGAGATTTCATCTCCTAGTGAATAGGAGTTTTGACTTCTTCTGGGCCTTAAAAACACATCCATTTTTCTTTTTTCTATTTGAGAAACTGAAATCCTTTCTCAAGTAGCCTTTTCGCCAGCTCTGTTCATGCTGAGTTGAACAGGGCAATCAGCTACGTCAGACAGAAGCTGTGAGAGGCATTTGCAACCCAACAGACCTCAAAGATGAAGGCAAAAATTTCATCAAAAATTGTAAAATGAAGCTCCAACATATTTCTAACCTAACTACCATAGTTAATAAATGCTATGAATGATAATACATAAAATCTAGTACTGCATTCTACAGAGCAGTAAGACCAACCAGGTATCCAGGAACATGTCCTCATCATGGGTTACAAAATGCATAGACTGAATTTCTTTTCTGGATACATTCTACTTAGGCTCTCTGCAAACCTTTGATTAAAATAGTGTGTACCACTTAGCTGTTTACACTAAAATGGACAAAAACAACAATTCAGCAGGTAATATTTTAACAAAAGTAGCCTAGGGATTTATTTTATTTTATTTTTTGGTTTGGTTTTCTAAAGAAACATACTTGGTTCACTTCTTCTATTCCCTTTTTTTAAGCCCTACAATTTGAATACTGTTCACATCCAAGCAACACCCAAATAATGAAGATGCATTAAAAATAGGAGTCTTCAGGGGAACAGAGGCCGAAAGCGGTGGCGATGAGTGTTCGGTGTGGCCCCTCCTGGCGCTATACGGCTCCCAGGATGGCCTACACCAGCGGCCTGGCTACCAGAGTCGGCAGGAGTCCACGCCTCTGTTCATCGTGGAATTGGATGGACAGTTAAAGGCTTTCTGGAACTCTTCAAAGTTGCTAATTGCTCCATTGACCCTGGAAAAGATATGTCACACAGTCCATGTTATTCACTTCTTCCATATCAGTAGGTTCTGGATACAACTGCAGCAGCCATACTGCTCTCAGAGATGTTGCATTCATCTCAGCTGTTTATGGGAGAGACAAATGAAGCCCCAAATGGAGAAGTAAAATTCCAAAGAAATTAACAGAGCTGAGGCTAGAACCAGCACCTCCTGAATGCCAGGCACATGCTCTTACGAATCTTCCCAATACCCTCAAATTTCTATAAACTGTAGGGTTTGCAATTCCTATAAATTGTATATACATACAACTGTATAGCCCTATAAATTTATAGACTCCTAGAAATTTAAGGATGTACCAGAAATACTTAGCTTTTCTATTTTTTCCCACTTTTTATGGAAGGTATAACTGATACAAAGTAAAATGTAAAGCTTATCAATTTTGTTCACGTATATATACCCATGTTACTACCACCCAGAGTATTTCCAGCACCTAGAAGGCTCCACTGTGTGCTCTACAAGTAGAACCTCCAAGGAAAACTACTAGTCTGACCTCTATCACCACAGATTCATTTTGCTTGTTTTTGAACTTCATATGAATGGAATCACACAATATGCACTCTTTTGTTCCTGACTTCTTTCACTCAATATTATGTCTGCAAGATTCATCCATGTTCTTACTATCTATAAACTATCTTTAAAGACTTCATTCAATCTACAAAAAATGCTTTCCTTAATTCCTATTATGTTTGAAGGTTCATATTTACCTAGAATCTGGTCAAGGTAACAAACTAATGAATGGTGTCTGCCTGTTATTGATGAGTAATGTCTTACTGAAGTTAGTTCCAAAATCTGGTGTTCTTGCAAGTTCTCTGACTGGAGTAAAGACTGTGGATTCCTACTCAGCACTTTCATTTTAACTGCCTTACGGCAGAGGTATTTCCATCGTGTGATTTCTGCTGTACTCAAAATCTATAGTTACCGCAGACATCACTAACAAGCCAGCAAAAACTGCCCCCTCATCTATTTCTTACTCAACTGCATGTTCAAAGGGTTGACTAGAGACTCAGCTTTCTCAGTTATTAACTATTTCTTCCCTAATGACTTTGTTACCTATGGGCATTTGAATGAATATATTGGCCTGTATCCAAACTTCTTGTTTTAGCTGGGATGTATGGGTAGGAATGCATATTTCATAGTGTGATTCACCCTGGGCAAATGTTAAAAAGAGAATTTAGCTGATAATTAGTAAGTATACTCTGCAAATTATCAGCTAAAATCCAGTGTTACCAGCAACTAGTTACTAAAAGGAAATTAGTTTCTACAATCTTATCTGTTAAGTAATTAATCTACTGTGTGGCTTCCTTTGTACCATTCACCAGTGGGAGAATATTTTAGTCCATTAGAGAGTGTCAGCATTTTTGACAGTTTAGCCCAGTGGGGGAGAATTTCTAATACAGTGATTAGATTTTTATGCTACTGGGTAATTTATAGTCAATTCCTGAAACATTTCTAAAGCAAACTTTTAGGAATAAGATTTTTAAATACAGGAGAAATTTTAGGCAATTTTCCTGCACTGTGCTGATGGAGTCACTTAAACATCAAGCAAAGATATCCAGATATATGACATGTTCTAGGCAAAGACTCAATAAAAATTATTATGGTTTCTTGGATTTCCCATTATAATTCTCTGACCCCAACTACAGAAAAGCTCCCTCAAACTGTGCAAGAAACCTAGCACAGGGTAAGTATACTAACTTTAATTTTATTTTTTCTTATTATTTTTTGTACATTCTGACAAATAAGATTGTAATTCATAATCCTCTTCCCTTCACGTGAAGTAATTGTTTTCAAAAAATGATTCAAACTAAAAGCCAAAATGTAGAGCTTTGACTTTAGATATGAATTCTAATAGCTAAATACCACCATACATCCTCTTTTGTGTTCAGAACTATTAAGAAAGTGGGCATTCATTCATGTCTGCCGGTTGACTGCATGAAAGAACAAGAGGCATTAAATAGGATATCCTAGGACACAAAATAAACCAGAGCTCTACGTGTTTTAAGGCACATAAACTCTCATCCTTGCCTAAGGAGAAAGACATTTTCTGGCCCAGACAAAAAAAAGTAGGGGGCTGGATAAGTCAAATATTCCAGTTTACTGAGCACCCATGGTGCTTTTGGCACCCGTGGATTGGTACCTTTCAAAACCTGGAAGATAACAAATGGGAATTAATACTAAAGCTATGAACTGGATTCTAAATTATCTTTGGAGTCTTGTACTATCTCACAGATCTCGATACAGCACTAGACGAGAGGTATGAGTAAATGCCTACTACAGAAATTTTTTTTGAAAGTATTCTGACTAAACTAGCTTCCTATTAATGAAAGAAAAGATGCTCGGTTCTGTTTGGTCAGATATTCCTGTCTGCAAAATGGAGATATCGCTGTTCACAATAAGGGCTTTTGTTCAGATCTCCTATGTGGTACAGCACTGGGATGGCTGAGTTGGGGAGGAGGTGGGAGACGCACAGTTAAAAATTAGGACCAACGATTTGCCCATTTACCTAAACTGAGGGGGACTGTGAGCACCAATTTGGACTTGTTCTCGGGCAGCTTCTGGTCTGTAGGAATTGCACCTCACCTAAAAGAGAAGAGAATCCCAGTAATTATGTTTCCATTCCGATTACACATTGCCTACCACCTTAACTGCTCCAAATTATACTGAAGAGTAATTTTAGACTCAGTGGATGACAAACAGTTTTAGTAGATCAGATAAAACCTTCATCAGGAGTAACATCCATTATTCTAATCCCCAGAGTAGAAGGTTTGATTGTTGTGCATAACTCCACAACTTGAGTAAATTAGGAAGGTTTCTAGACAAATATCTTTAATGTTTATTTATCTTTTTTTTTTGATAGAGAGAGAGAGCACAAGCAGGAGTGGGACAGAGAGAGGGGGGACAGAGGATCCGAAGCGGGCTCCATGCTGATAGCCCGATGGGGGCTCGAACTCACAAACTGCGAGATCATGACCTGAGCCGAAATCAAGAGTCAGACACTTAACCAACTGAGCCACTCAGGCGCCCCTCTAGACAAATTTCTTAAATCAAGAGAATAGTGTATAAGCCTAGAAATCAACCAATGTATTAACTCAAATAATATAATGCTTGGAATAGCCCTTATCAAATTCCACCATACTCATTCGAACAGGAAAAAAAAAATCAATCAATCATCCCTTATTGAGTATGGTCATGAGAAGTTAGTATTTTGCACCCTAAGTGCGTTGCTTGCCTTACCCCTAGTCAGGGCCTCAGATAGGAGGAGATTTCTCCATGGACTTTGAAGTTAGGCAAAGCTAATGTGACTTGCTGTGACCAACCACATGCAAGCAGAGGTGACAGATGTCACATCCTTGTGGGAGCTTTAAAAACCCAGTGCAAGTTTTTAAGAGTCTTAAGAATAATTTAAAATGCTACATTAAGATCCAGTGGACATTTCCTCATCTCTCTTTCCTACCCCGATGCTGAACATGTGAGCGTGTGTTGAGATAAAGATTCCAAAACCCTGGTCCTTGAATAATAACTAGGAGCAGAGTCCCACTTTGAACCCCCACTTTCACATGGGACGTGGAGCAGGAACACAAAAGAAAGTGTCTTTGTACTGTTTGTTCCTGCACCATAACCTACTTAATCCTGACTTGAAGTTTGTCTGGAAACATGATATAGCCTTGAAGTATGAAAAGAACTAGGAGACATGAAATGATGCGGGGAATTCTAAGTACGGGAGAAAATGGAAGCAAAGACATATTCGAGAGAAAAGAAAAAGCGAGACATTGAGCAGGGATAATGTGTGGTGGATAACGGGCAGCAGTGGGAGGCCAGCAGGGAGAGAGGATGGTGCCGGATTTCTGAAGTCTTGAGCAACAGGCCAAGGGTTTAAACTGTATTTAAACACTGTTTGTGAGCAGGAAAATGACAAAATCATATTTGTAAAAGAATTATCTGGCAGGGGTGCATAGCAGGAGGAGGAAATTAGAGACTAGTTCCAAGAGTATTTATGGGCCTCAGGAAGGTTCCCAATGAGTGGCCACTAAGTAAGTAGAAACAGGAATGAAGAAAAGTAGAAAGATAAAGAGAATGTCTAAGAAAAGAATTAACAGGTCACAGAAAGTACAAGGATACAGAAAGCAGGAAAGGTGATATGATGCTATTGCTTTTGATGAAGATAAACCATCTGAACATGACTGTGAAGATGCTTTTGTAATGTGATTCCTTAATTTCCTCAGAAGTTAGTTGAGATGAAGTTGTTTCTGGCATTCTCTATTACCTCATTTTTTCTTGTTCTGTTTTTTCTTATATTCTTACATTATTATACAGCATTGTTACAGTATTGTCTTTGCTTCATAAATCATTTAAGATGCTTCTGAAAACACATTACGGTTGTTACTGTTTTCCAAGTATCTTCTCAAGAGGGAAAATAACTTTAGTCCCTATAAGCAGACTTATTCCAATGTGCAAAGGCTGAAAATCTCCTCCTTCTGTCAGTAGGAATACCTCCAAGATAGTAACATAAAGTAGCTTTCCATTTTTCCCTAAATCTCTTTAGTTTAAAATAAATCAGATATGCTTTGGAATTTTATTTGAAGACATCTCAAAATTATGAAGATAATATTGCTACCAGTTGGTTTACCTTACATCCAAAAAGATATTGTGGACTAGGATGTAACTAAGATGGACTTTAAGTAAGTAAGAACCAATGGACACTGTACTGTGTCCTCGAGATCAAAGGTCGGCAAACTTTTTTCTGTAAAAGGGCAGACATTAAATGATTTAGGCCTTGCAGACCATAAGGTCTCTGTTTCAACTACTCAGTTTGGCCACAGTAACACAAAACCAGCCACCCACAACACATAAAGGAAAGAGCATGGCTGCTTTCTAATAAAACAGTTTTTACAAAAATGGACAGCAGGCCATAATTGGCCCATGGGTCCAAGTTTGCCAACCCCTGCTCTAGAAATTTCTAACTACATTGTGTGTGCTTATTTGAGATATCTGACCCAGCACTGACCCCAAAGAAGTCTCTTTAATGGAACTGCTACTTAGTCTTACCTTTTATAAACAATTCATCTAAAAATGTCAAGCATCTTCAACATACCCAGCATCTTTGCTGGGTGGTATGGAGATACATAAGAAATATAAGGACCCAGGGGTGCCTGGGTGGCTCAGTCGCTTAAGTGTCTGACTTTGGCTCAGGTCATGATCTCCAGTTCGTGGGTTCAAGCCCTGCGTCAGGCTCTGTGCTGACAGCCTGGAGCCTGCTTTGGATTCTGTGTCTCCCTCTCTGCCCCTGCCCCACTCATGCTCTGTCTGTCTCTCAAAAAAAGGTTTTTTTCAAAGAAATATAAGGATCCAGAAGATTAGCTATGGATATAAAACTAAAAGTCTTCAACAGTTTGAGAACAATTAAGGACTCAACTGCATAGTAATGAAGGGAATGTAATGTAAAGGAGTTGGAGATTCAAAAAAGAGAGAGAGAGAGTACTGGAGTCCTAGGGAAGTCTGTGGAAAATTTGGAGGAGGTGGAACTCGACATGGATCCTGAACAATAAAGATGAGACTGAATAATCTCAGGGGGAGGAGTATGAAGAGGGTCACATCATAGAAGGAAAATCAAAAGCAAAGCCACACAGTCAGTAATTGGCATAACAGTGTGGGTTGGAAGTGAGGACACCTGCCTGGCTAAGGGTGAGTCTAGGAGAGTTGCAGGAACTCAGAACTGGTTGGGTACAGTTGAGTAAGACTGAACAGAACTATGAAAGCCAGCTGGACGTGTTTGGCTTTGATGTGGCAGGCACTTGGGAGCCACTGCAGTTCCTTCAGCAGGTCCGTAATGAAATCAAAGTAGTATTCCAGGGTCATGTAAGACAGACAGTGGTGGAAAGATGCCAAAGTTGGAAAAACATGCCATAACGCTGTTGGGATAATCCAGAGTCTAAGAGATCAAGGCTTACTCTACAGATGATGAGACAGGCTAATAGGGAAAAAGAGGTTCAATCTGAAGAGGAGTTAAAACGATGAAACATCCAGCTTTGGGGACCCATGTCATAAAAACGAGGATAGACAAATCAAGTAAGACCAAAGAATCTACATTTTCTAACCAGGAAGACCCAGAGACTTGGGATGTATTGACAGCAATGGGAAAACTAAAAAGGAAAGTCATTTTAGTGACTCCAGTTTTACCAATGTCATGTCGATAAATGATTATTTAGTGTTGTCATGTCAGCTTTAAGAAATAAAAGATCCTGTGGGCACCTAGGTGGCTCAGTCAGTTGAGCATCTGACTTTGGCTCAGTTCATGATCTCATGGTTCGTGAATTCAAGCCCCACATCAGGTTTGTGGCTGTCACAGTGCAAAGCCCACTTTAGATCATCTGCCTCCCTCTCTCTCTGCCCCTCCCCAGCTCTCTGTCTTAAAAATAAATTAGCATTAAAAAAAGAAATAAAAGATCCCAGAAAGGTGAGAATCCTTTAGCCAGAGTCAGCCAAAGAAGCTGAGAAAATCAAAAAGGAAGAAAAGCCATAGAAGGAAAATCAAAGCAGCTGTGGAATGAATCAGCTTACTGAGGAGCCAATGCAAAGAGTGAAGAAAAGAAGGTTGTGCTGTTAACAACTTTGGTCTAGTTTTGAGCATACAGATCTACATTGCCCACTGTGAAGCCATGCATCAGAACCTTCATCAACCCATCTCTTCTTTGAAAATGAGGCCTACACACTTGTGACATAAGCTTCTATTGTTGTTTTCAGCTCTAGCAGCCTCCACGTACTCTTCTGACTCTTGCGACCAAGGGAACACAGCCTTGTGGGTCCCCCGCAGGTTGAGAGAGGTGGGATACTGTCAGCCCATGAGGCAAAGGAACAGGAGAAACAGAGCAGAGGGCAGGGCCATGAAAGCCAATCACCAGAAAAGGTTATAGGAAGTAGTGCATACTTTAAGAAGTCAGGATATATTAAAGAAATGATAAGTGGTTACCACAGGGCTGGTAACCCACTTGATAAACAATACCAAAATACCCTGACTCAATCAGTTGATTAATTATGTCCCCCAGAATATTAAGAAGATGAAATTTGTCCCGGAAATAAGCAGCAAGATAAAATTTCAGCTCAAATCAAAGTTATGCCATTCAACTTTCGTTCCAAACCTTTCACCATGGGAGCAAGCCAAAGTCTCACATTTCACCTCTGATGCCCCTTCCTTGGCCTACTCACATGAGCATAACTCAGGAAGAAGAGCTGGTTGTTGGTGAATGTGATGCCTGGTAGTAGAGGCTCCTCAAGTCCCTGCCTCTTGTCATTTATCCATTTCCGGTAAGCCTGGAGAGAGAAGTAGAATGGATGATCCTCTGCAATGGTGGCTCTTCTCTTATTTCATCCAGTGCAGAGATACTCAATATATCCTCCACCATGTGCAAAATGCATCCTGTAAAGTTTTCCTTTAACAACACCAACCTCTGGAAATGCAAATCAATGTCGTATTGCTTAACAGTGAGGCAGGTTCACCTGCTAAAAGACCTGATACTCAACAGATACAGAGAAGCTGGGCCAAAGCATTCACATCGCAGCCACTTCCACAATAAAAAAAAAGCTATTCTTTCTCTAACACAATGGCAAGGACTTTGGAAATAAATGTTGGGGTCAACATATTGGGGCCAAATTTTTATTTTTCCAAGTAAAAGGGAAAACTATCATCTGCAATCACCATCACTTTATAAAATATATTTTAATTAGAATACAGGAAGGATGTAACCTCAGAATAACAGCCTGGTCTTTACATTAAATGCATTTACCTTTATGAAAATCTTTCCACATCATCCTTAATGTTTCTTATTTAAGCAAAGACCAGTGGATGATGAAAACCTTACTATGGACTGTTACTGGCCAACTGTATGAGAACCACTAGCCTCTGGCCATCATTTAGAAGCTTGGTATTTTAAGAGAAAATTGCAAGATGGGCTATAGAGACCGGGTACTCAAGGAAAACTCATATGAACATAGCCCTGAGGAGATTTCTGGAACATGCTTTGATATTATTGTGAACGCATTTGCTGAAAACCATCCTTTAAATACATGATTCTTCACAACAAATATTATTCTTTAGGGTGACTCTATATCCCATAAAGAAAGAAAAAAAGAAATGCAGCTCTATCCATATAATAGAGTATGACAGAGTCAATGTGGAAATATAATTCTATTTACAGAAATTACAGAAATCTAACTCCTCAAGAATATGTCTGGAGTGTAAATTGAGGTGCACCCACATGGCGTTCCATAGTTTCATTTTAAAAATCACAGCAAATATGTTGCAGTGCATACCCTAAAAGCTTCCCGCAGACCTCCATTATCAGCAATATTTTCTCCCAGGGTCCTCTTCCCCTTCACCTAACAAAAAGAAAAAAAAAAAAAAGAGTGTTTCACAGCCAACTATCATTCAGCAGAAGGCATAAATACGATAGCAAGAAAAAGTGCCATATTTTCCAGAGAAAATTACATTCAATAAATCCTAGGGTAGTCATAATATATTGTGAGATGGCAAACGAACTCCAGCAAGGTGCTCCTGAACACACTAATTTCTATTATGCTACGCATTTCTTTCTCCCCCACCTCCGTATCTTACCAATTTAGCCAGCTCCAATAAAATGTTAACAATACTCTGAGTGACTCGGGTTTAATGGAGAAAAAGTTGAAATGTCAATACACAAATGACTTTCTCTGATTAATTCATATAATTTGAGTCTTTTCCGTGTGCTTCTGTTTCCAAAAATTTACCATCCACAAAGGAACAAAACTTCAAGACCAACCATCACCATTTTCCCTTCAGCAACTTCCATGAAAAATTAAAAGGAGGGTAGTTCTCATGGGGGACAAAAATCAAACAGAAGTAGCACATTCCACAAGGTCAAGGTTTGCAATATGTATGATAAGCAGCCAAGCACGGGGAAGAAATTCCTCCAAACATTTGAAGATTGTTTCTTAAATCCCTAAATAGGCTAAGATAAAAAAACATTCCAAACCAATACAGCCCACAAGCCAGAATCTAACCTGCCGCTCATTTTTGTACAGGCTGTGAGGTAAAACTGGATTTTACATTTCTCAGTGCATAGGGGAAAAAAAATCCAAAGAAGGTGAATATTTTGTGGCATATGAAAATTAGATGAAATTCAAATTCAGTGTCCTTCATTCAGGTTTTATGGGAACACAGCCATGCCCATCTGTGTCCATACGGTCTGGGGCACTCCCCTTGCTACAGTGGCCTAGTTAAGTAGTTGCAAAAGAGACCTATGGCCCACAAAACCTAAATCACTTACTGCCTGGCCCTCTGCAGACCAAGGTTGTCAATCCCTGCCGAAGAGGCAGAATAATGCCCCCTCTCCCCTACCAAAGACGTCTATGTCCTAAATTCCTGGAGCCTGTGAAAATGTTATCTATTGTGGCAAAAGGAAATTGTAAAATATGATTAAGTAAAGGATCTGGAGAATTAGCCTGCATTATCCAGGTGGGTCTAATGTAACTACAAGGGTCCATATAGATAGAGGAAACGGGAGGAGTGATGCAATGTGAGATGTGACCAGCTACTGCTGGTTTAGAAGACAGGCACCATGAGTGAAGGAATGTGGCCAGCCTCTAAAAGCAAGAAACACCAAAGAAACAGACTCTCCCCCAGAGCAGCTAGAAAGGAAAACAGCTCTGTGTCACCCTGATTTCAGCTCACTGAGACCTGAGCGGGACATCGAGGACTGCAAAATAGTGTTTGTGTCGTTTCAAGCCATTAAGTTTGTGGTGATGTGTGATAGCAGCAACAGGAAATGAATACACCCTGCTCTAAACTTTAAAGCCATGGGTCCTACCCATTCTTTACTTTTCGGCTAGCCCAAGCACCCAGGTATCAAGCAATACCAATGGATAAAAACCAATCTTCAGAGAGCATTAATTTCCGTAATCACCCAGGACTCTCCTAGCTTCAGTCCTCTAAGTTCCCACTCTGGCTTCACATATATTCTTCTTTGACAACAATCTTACAAATTAGGTGCTGTTACCACCACCCTTGTTTAACAAATAAGGAAAGAACAGAGTGTGTAGCAGATGCCTACAGATGTCATTGTTGCAGATATCGTTGGTGTCACACTAGATCCCCTTTTCCATCAGGACTATACACCCATTCCTACAACTGCTACCAGCTCAGAAAGATTAAGCTTAGCTTAGGGGACTCACCACACCTGAAGATTCCTGGGAGGGGATACCCCAACTCTCAGTAACTGACTGATGAGCAGTTAGAACTGCCTAGCCCTCTAGCCCCCGGCTGAACAATTCCTATGGTGCAATTCATGCTCCAGAACCTGGATCAGGCTGAGGCTAAACTCATGAAACCAACAGGTTTTCTTTACCCTCATACAGGTCTCTCCTGAAACTACTTCCTAAATAAATCCCTTACCTAAGAAACCCCTTCTTGGGCTTTGTTTCTGGAGCACCTAACCTAAAACAGAGTGATTAAATCAACTGCCCACATTTCACAGGGATTCAAACCCAAAAAGTCTGTGTCTAGAGTTTTTGCCTCCTAACATGCTACCTTCTCAAATCTCAACTGCTCTTGACTCCAGTGCATCTGCTTATACCCACTCATGCCCATATTTAATTTCCTTCGTTGTTTCTCTAAGCTTTATCAAAATTGGAGGTTTGAGGAGTGGCCTCACCCCTCTGGCTCCTCCCCCTCACTCTAGACCACCTCCTTAGACCATATGGCCCTAGGTTTGCCTCTCACCAGCTGGGAATAGTCTGCTTCTGTGGCACTCCCCTGTAGCACTCCCCAGTTCACTGCAATGGACTCAGGCATGGAAGACCAGCATCCATAAATGGAGCCAGAAAATAAACTGTGGCCCTTTATACTCACAAAGGAAGCCACCCCCTCTCCTCTGGGATAGAGATTGAAGCTGTTTTCTGACAGTTGAGCGGATTTTGCCAGGGCGGGCATCCCCTTTCTATCGTCCTTGTGACAAAGGTACACATTTGCCAGAATTCAGTTTCAGTGTCTGACATTTTAGCCCAAAAGGATGCTGTGGAATAGTCTCCCTCCCAACACACTAGCTAGGAATAAAATGAGCTTAGAATGTGAGAACCACAGCATGATATGGTGAAAAGAATGTGGATCTCAGACTCACTCTAATCTAGACTCTACTGTGGTTTTTCATCTCTTTGAGCCTCAGTTTTCTTATATGTAAAATAAGCTAGCAATATGTACACCTCTCAGGACCAGTATGAGGATTACATTTGTTTCGGCTGGTTGAAAAGTCTACCACCATGCCTGCATATAACAATCATCACGAAATATACATTCCCTTCCTCTAAGAAAACTGTTCTTCTATTGGTTTTTGTTATTGTTGTTGTTGTTGTTGTTGTTGTTGTTGTTTTCAGTCCCACAAACTTTGGCTTTGTTTTTCTGTAGGATGGGGCACCTATGAGTATGTGACAAAGTATTAGTAATAGTAACAACAATTTACTGAGCACTTACTGCACGTCAGCCATCATGCTGGTGCTTTACATAACGGCAGCCATTTAATTCTTACAACAAATGAATGAGTTCAGGAACAGTGACCCATTTCACAGATGAAGACACTGAGAATCAGGAACATTAAGCAACTTTCCCAAGTTCAAAAAACTTGTAACTGGTTGAATCAAGATTTGAACCTCTAGCTGACTCTAGAACCCCTCCCTCCCCTACACTTTTCTTGAAGCAACATATATTCTAGATGGATTTTCACAATGTGATAACTCCTGAATTGAATACTGATAAACAGAAGCACCCATTTTACATTTTCTCATGACAGAGTTGTAGATATTAAAATACACCCACACACATACACACCCACACACCCACACACACACAGAAATGGCTTTCCAGAACAATGATGAAAGAGCTACAGAAACTATTCAAGAATACAGCCTCTGGTTTCTCTGCCTGGATAAAGAGCAGTGTTCCTTGTGCTGAATATGGTTGAAGAAGTAGAGGACCAAGTCAGTTCTGTGTGGTCTCTTGTTCCTGTTAGGTGTTGTACCCTTAACCATACGAATTAGGGGCATACAGGGTGCACATGTGTGTTTTAGAGTGAGGGCTTCCTGCAGATCCATACCCTACCAACAATTCTTCACTATTGGCCTCTTACAGTCAAATACAATGTGAGAAATCTGTTTCTTATAATTATGAAAGCAGGGGTAGAAAACGCAATAAAAAAACTACAAAGAAAAATTCATATAGGGAGCAGAAATGAAAACCTGATCAAACCAGCAAAATAAGGAAAAGGAAAAAGAATTAAAAATAATATACAGGAGATAAACTACAAAGAGAAAACTATAAAACTGTGTTTGAAAATGTAAAATAAGAACCAGACAGAAAGGCATACCATGTTCTTGAACAAGAAGACTGTATAATAAACATGTCAATTCCATACAGTAACTGTGATTTAACTTAGAATCCCAATGGGATTTTCTTTGGGGCACAGGGTAACCTGTAGGTAACATGATCTTGGACCAACTACAGAAGTATATTTGCCTGAGAATGGGCAACCATGTAAAAGAAGAACAGTGAGGGAGAGTTTATATTGACACATACCAGAACAATCCTTATAACAATGGTAATAAGGGCTTGGTAAAGAAATCAACAAATAGACCAGCAGAGTAGAACACATAATCCAAAAATTGATGTCAATACATATAAGATTCTAAAATTTGACAAATAATCAATTCAGTGAGAAAAAAAAGTCTTTTAATCAGTGATGGTGATCAATGGACTATCAGAAGAAAAGTAATCACTCATATTAAATTCCATAAAAAAATAAGTTTTACATGCATCAAGATTTAAATGTAAAATAACACAACAACAAAAATTTTCCCAAAAAGCTGGGAAACTATATATATGACATACAGTGGAAATACAGAAACTATTTTTTAAGAGAAATAGGTATCTTTGGCTATATAGAAATGTTTAATTTTTGTAGGTCAAAGATGCCATATATAAAATCCAATGGATGAGTAATACACTTGGGGGAAAACACTGTAATGTGGATGATAAAATTTTAACATCTGTAATATTTTTTAAAAGTTCTCATATATTGACAAGAAAATAACTGAATAGAGAAATGCTCTTTCGTATATCACTTGTGAGAATATGAAATAATATAAGTTGTTGGTGACAGTAGGAACCTATTTTATATGGACAAAAAGAACATGAACCTAATGACAGTGTTTATTACAGCAGCATTTACTGTGGGAAAAGAATTGGAGACAAAGCATAACCTCTCTCAACCAGAGGTTAGTTGAGTACGTTAGACACACTCACAATGTGGACTTCTGGAAAGTCACTGAAAACCATGAACTAAAGGAGTGTGTGTATGCATGTCTGTCTCTACATGAGCATGGGAAACAGTGTACCAGGGTGATTAAGATGAATTACAGGTAGGCAAGCTAAGAGTGATGACAGGGAAAGGGGAAGGGGACGGACATGAAGACAAGAAAGGAGCAGAATCTGACGCACACAAGCAGCATGTATAAAGTCGCATTCTTGTCTTCATGGAAATTTATGTATGTATACCTAAGAAAAAAAGCAGCATTTTAAAAGTACGTTTCTTTTACCCTCTTGCACTGTTGGTGGGAATGCAAATTGGTGCAGCC